AATATATTTGTAGGTCACCTTTTTTTTTTTTTTTATAGATTTTGTGATCAAATTATCTTACGATCAAAGTAGAAAACAAATGGGTATATACGAGTTTTTATTACCTAATTAAATAGACAATGTTTGTCCACCTCCAGATTGAAAACGCCCAAATTAAAAGAGTGTCCGTATAATAAAATAGTTGTAGGTAAAAATAAGATGAAATTATTTACAAAGTTTCAGGAGGATGTTAATAATTCGATAAAAAGGGGTAGTAGCTTTGCAAAATTTGATTCGCGAAATAATCTCCTCGCTATAATTTACAATAAAATACCCATATCCTTCATATATATATCATTTTGGTTTTACGTAATAACACTAGCGGATCCAGGATTTAATTTTGGGGGGGAAGGCTTCAGCCCGAAACCTTTTTTTTTCATAAAAATAACGATAATTACTTTGGAAAAACAGAAAGAAACTAACTACCTATATGAAATGGTGTTTAAGTTATTCCTTAAGTACTTGTAAATGTAATTACACGAACAATAATACTTTAAGAGGTATTTTTTAATTTTTTTCCCCATAAAACATGGTTATATTTTTCCATTTTGGGGGGGGGGGGGCTTCAGCCCGAAAGCTCCTCCCCCCCCCCCCCCGTAGATCCGCCCGTGCGTAATAAATATTTGGAACAGACAATGGCAACAAGCGACCGAAGGACGACCGTTTTATAAATTTGTCTCGGAAGTCACACTTACCAACTATAACAAAATCGAGAGCACATTCCACAAGCTGTAACAGTTTTTAACTGAAGATGGACAACAAAAATCTTACTGAAAACTTTATCATCTGACGAATACTGACACATGTCACTGCGACGGACCAACTTCTCAGACATTTGATCACATTAAATATGACTGCTCTATTTTTGGCAGTAAACGTTACCACTTCATAAGAAATATAATTCTAAAAATAAATAATTGGTCGCTGAAAGAAAAGGACATATTAAAAAAATGTAATAAGGAGATGAAGAAATTTACTCTTGAAGTTGATCGTCAAGTTCTCTAAGAAACCTAACAAATAATTTTATGATAGTTATTTTTTTTAAAATTTAAAATGGTGTTGTAACTGGAGAATAAAAATAAATTCCATCAAATTCCCTTTACCCTTCGAGGTAAACCCACAACTTCTTGTCCTACAATATCCTTCAATGATATTCCACTTGCTGATTTGTTCTTGTTGAACAAATCAGCTACCTAGGACTCTACTTCGATAAAAGTCTCACTTGGAATCCGCATACCAGACTGAAACGACAAGAAACTGCTCGGCGTTTCCGACTGCTCCAACTCTTACTAGACAAACGCTCTAAACTTTCAATTAATTACAAAAGACTCATCAACTGAACCATAATAAGGCCTATATGGATATACGGAGTTGAGCTTTGGGGTTCTACCGAATTCCTATCGTATCCAATCCTTACAATCCAAAATCCTTCGTAAAATCCTTAATGCTCCATATTTTGTCACAAATAAAACCATTCATAAAGACCTTAATGTTCCATATGCCGCTGATTTAGCCCGAGCCAGATACATATCCTTTCATGACAAACTCCAGTCCCATCCGAATCCACTTGTTTCTAGCCTTGCTTCTTCCTCGATTCCTGATAATCCCCCTACGCGTCTGAAAAGATGGCCACGTGATCTCCTCACCTTGAATTAAATAGGGAGTGCTACCACTGGACAGTATCTTTTAAAGTCTGTTCATGTCATTATTTCTAATGTGTGCATTTTTACTAGTTGTATTGTTTATGCAGTTGTAAATTCCATTAAATAATTTTTTTTAAATTATTCTTAATATCATTTTCGTTTTCTGTATACTTTTTTTTTTCTTTTCTCTTTTGTGTTTAAATTAACAAAATATGAAGTTTACCATAATCATGCCATTTACAAATGTATAAGATATACGTAATTTGCTATGAAATATAAACATGTATTATGCTGAATGCATGGAACATGTAAAATTCAACTAATAAACGGTCCTTGTACATAGTCACTGCATGAGGGAATTAGAAAAAAAAAAAGATAGCTAAGTAATAAAAAAAAAATTAAACTAACAAACAATTAAATTATTTATTATTTTCATTACTAAGACCATATATACACCAAATGCCACAATTTTAGAAGAAAATTAACCAAACAATGAGAGCTTAAGTTCTTGGATATTGAATGAGATGAAGCTAGTGGGAAATCGATACCACTCCAGTATTTAGTCGGGTCAGTTCAGTTGCTGAGGTCAGAGTTCGTGTCAGTTTTCACTGAATTTGAAAATATATAAATATATTATTTTAAAAAGGAAATTTGATTAAACATGTAATAATATAAATTTTTCATTATCTCTGAGAGTGATAGAAGAATTCATTGATTTGTTGTTGTCGAAAGAAGGAAGCTTTGTAATCATTGTAGAGATAAAAAAATCTTTAGTACCAAGAATATTTCTGTATCAATTTCATCATATTCTCTCCACGGATATATACACATATACAGGCGTGTAAATTTATTTCCTTTGACACGCTAATATTACAAAGACGTCTCTTTCGATTTGGTTCAATGTTGGGCATCAGTTAAGAAACGATGATATATCAATTTTATCTAATTCTTTCACTTTTTCCAACATATACGCAAAATTTTTTTACTTAATAGGCATCTATTTCAAAAATTCCGTTCGCTATGAGTTATAATTAGACAGAAGAATTGGGAAATAAATGATCAAAGAAGTATCAACTTGATTCTGATTAAAATTACGAATTAATTGTATAGTTAAAAAAATTATAAAAATTAGGATCTGTAGATTCGGAAATAAGCCGTAGACGGTGAATTTTTTTTTTTTAATTCGAATTTTGGATTCTATGTTAACTTGAAAAGTAAAAAGAATAACTTTTAAAGAGGTTATTATATTTTTCCTTGGCTGATTACAATGGTTCGTTATTAAAAAAAAATAACTCAAAATAATGATTTGATTTTTTAAAGTAAATCCTTTAAATAACACAAGATTCTATCTCAGTAGGTTAATTTGTATAAAAACATATACAATAAATACTAGTTAGCTCCTGCGAATAATCCGCAGAATATATTGTTTAGTGAAGAAACAACAAAATAATATGGAAATAAATACATCTTATGCACTATATGAAAAAGGAATTACTTGCGTTTTCGTTGGTCAAATAAAATATTTCATTTAACACACTAGCGGATCCAGGATTTAATTTTGGGAGGGGCTTCAGCCTGAAGGATTTTTTTTTCATATATATAACGATAATTAATTAGAAAAAAAAAGAAAGAAACTAACTACCCATATGACATGGTGTCTTAGTGATTCTTGAAGTCCTATTAAATGTAATTACATGAACAATAACACTTTAAGAGATAATTTTTAATATTTTTTTCTATAAAATCTTTTACCATTTTGGGGTGGCTTCAGCCCGAAAGCTCCCTCCCTCTCTCCGTAAATCCGCCTGTGATTTAACATAACAGACCAAAATATTTGTACAAATTACTTCTAAACATTGAATATGAACCTAACATATTCAAAATAAGGCCTAGATTACAGAATTATCTATATTATTGAAAAAAAAAAAATGAATCAATGTATTTCATCCAATAGAAATACAGTAGTAGAATAGTAAAAGCAGTATTTTCAAAAAGGGAGAAATTATGCAAATCAAATCTAATGATATCTTTAGTAATAGTGTCCTGATTTTTAATATATTTTTTTTTTGTTGTGTAGGGAATTTAGTAAAGTTTCAATTAAATATGGATGCAATACAGAAAAAACGCAATGCTTTTTGAGTTATTTACAAGTAAAGTTTCTTTTCCTTCATAACTTTTTTCGCTGAAATTTCGGGAAGAGATGACGTTTTTTCCCATCTGAATAAGAAAATCTTCAAAATGAGAACTCAATCGTCAGACTTAATGAAGAATTGAGGAAGTTATGGCGTTGTGATAAAAAAAAAAAAAAAAAAAAAAAAAACCTTTGAGAAATAATACAATAAGATTGAAAAGAAGTTGGGCGGGGAGTGAAATCAATGAATTCAAAACAAACAGATAAGTAAAACCTGAGACCGCGATGGTCGAGAGTGTTAAAGCGTCATAACAACGGCAACCTCGAGTCTAGCAGCGCCGATTCGAAATTTAGTTCGTGGCACAGGCGGATCAACGGGAGGGGGGCTTTCGGGTTGAAGCCCTCCCCCAAAATGGTAAAATATATCCAGATTTACATAAAAAAAATATATAAAAACTATCTCTTAAATTATTCTTGTTCGTGTAATTACATTTAATAGGAATTCAAGAACTACTTAAACACCATTTCATATAGGTAGTTAATTTCTTTCTTTTTTTTCAAATTAATTATCATTGTATTTGAAAAAAAAACTTTCGGGCTGAAGCCCCCCCTCCAAAATTAAATCCTGGATCCGATAGTGGTTTGTGGTGAATCCCGAACTTCTTACTTTTGTGCCTGGCAATATCTGTAGAATATACCATTCACCATGGAGAGATCATCCTTGAACATAAAGACAGTTTCCCTCAGTAATATATCCCTAAGTGTTTCAAAGGCAGTTCTCACTGACATGCATAACCGTCTTCTGTCCATTTAGTACCTAAGGGATCCCTGCTTTTTCTAAGGTTGAGCAGCTTCGGTTATGTAAGAATGTTGGACAGGGTCATATTCAAGGACCAAATTTTTCTGTGTTAATGAGTACTCACTTTGTAAAAGACGGTTTCAACAGATTCCAGAGTCGATCCATGTGCAAACAAAACAGAATAAATAGTTTTCTGCCACAGGTGAACTCAAAACCAAACCCGGGAGGTAGGAATACCGTGCCTTACTCAGTTTAACTAGGCTATAATAAACATTGAATTTCGATGAAATACTTAGAATATATTTTGAGAAAACACCAATATATAATGTATATATTATACGATGGAGTTAATATAGTAGTAAGTAAAGATTTTTTCATTACCTTTCAGTACTGCCAACACTTATGAGGTGGTGGAAGAGATTGCGACATGGATTAAGGGAAAAACGACTATTCGGCCAAAAATCGGTATCATCTGTGGAACAGGATTAGGTAAGAATTATTTTTATAATAACGTATACTTTTTAATTACTCAATAATCCGTGGTACATAACCCATTTTATTAAATTAATAATATCCGTCCTGACACTTCGTAAATAGCTTCATCTCATCTTAACCTACAAATATTTTATTTACGAAAATTCTCGGAATCGGGTCTTTTTCTATCTAAAGTACAGCAAACTTTGTCTATTTAATTAGGTAATAAAAACTCTTAAGTACTCATTTGCTTTCCACTTGAATCGTAAGATAATTTGAGCGCAAAATCTAGAAAATAAATGGAATTCAAAATATTTAAAAAAACCCGTTCGGTTTGACCTACATCCCCAAATTGTCAAAATAACGAGGTTGTATAGGCCAAACGGACCCATATTTTCATAGGACACCTTTTAGTCGATTTTGTGATCAAATTATCTTACGATTCAAGAGGAAAGCAATGGGCATTTACGAATTTATACTCACTAAGTAAATATACAAAGTCTACCGACCTCCAGATTAAAAACGCCCCAATTCCGAAAATTTTCCTAAATAAACTATTTGTAGGTTACGATGAGATGAAGCTATTTACGAAGTTCAGGCGGATGTTAATAATTTGATAAAAAGGGGTCTGTACCACGGACTATAAGCTTGAAGAATTAAAGAAGATGACAGGGAAACTAAGATAAGTAATTAAGTTTTTTTAAAATATTAGGACTAATGTACACAGTTTTTACATCCTGTATTATTCATTCGACGTTTTGGCTTCAGGAGCCATTTTCCTGCAAACTAATTTTAATTAAGTTTTTACAGTTCAAAATACATTCTTATTATACACATATTAGTTTAACAATTATCAGTAATATAAATAGACCAAATTCTATTTTATAATTTTTTTTTTTTAATTTTTATCATCTAACTTTGGCCTAATATTTAAAAAAAATTATGAGAAAATGGCACCGAACCTGCATGATATGACTAGAAAAAAAAGATGAGTATTAATTTTTTGCAGATACTTTTCCGAGCGAAATCTCAGACAGGGTCGAAATGGAATACTCTGACGTTCCCCACTTCCCGAAGCCAACTATCGTTGGACATCCTGGAAGGTTAGTCTTCGGAAGACTGGAGGGAATCGAGATCGTATGCTTTACGGGAAAAGTATTTTTCTTCGAAGGATATGATAGTTTCCAGGTATTTAATTAGTTTAAAATTTATTTTTGATATATTTTTTTACAGTACTATATTATTAACGCCTTATGATTAGTGTACCGTAGCAGTCCGTGTAATGAAGCTGCTGGGGATTTCCTATCTGATCCTTTCCAACGCAGCGGGCAGCGTGGACGAAACCATGAGACCTGGAGACATCATGATGATGAAGGATCATATCAACCTGGTCGGCTTGGTCGGCCTAGGACCTTTGATAGGGCCGTCTCCTCAAGTAGACAGGTAAAGGTTAAGTTAAATAGTTTTGACTGAAGATCTCTTTTTAGGTTATGTCGATGCCTAACTTGAAACATTGATTGGTTATTTACTGGTATTTCATATATTTATTAGAATCGGTAATAATCTGTCCGAAAAATTTGAGGTTCGCTCGGGTTCCCTTTCGCCTGTCCTGTTCAATTTTGCATTAGAAGATGCCATTAGGGAGGTAATGCGTACCGAAAAAGGGTTGGATCTGGGTGGGACAACATCCGTGCTGGGCTATGCGGATGATATGGTGCTGTTAAGCGAAGACGTGGAAACTATAAAACTAAATACGACAACGTTAATGAAAGCCGGTAAAGAACTAGGACTCGAAATAAACGAGGATAAAACAAAATATATGGTTAGCTGCAAAAATTGCGATACTACTGGTGATATCGATATAGATGGTAATATGTTTGAACATGTAGAGAAGTTTAGGTATCTAGGGTCTACGATAACTAGAAAAAATGAAATTGAAGAAGAGATTAAGGTTAGACTGAAGGCGGAAAATGCTTGTTATTTTTCTGTGTCGTCCCGGAACTTAAAAATTATAATCTATAAAACCATTATCTTACCTACAGTTCTATAGGATGCGAAACTTGGCCGCTTACATTATGGGATTAGCAGCGTCTTAAGGTTTTTGAAAATAAAGTATTGCGTAAAATATTTGAACCGAAGAAGGATGAATTAACCGGAGAGTTCAGACGCCGAATTCCGTGAACTGTATTCGGGTAATATAATTGAGGTAATTTGATAGCGGCGAATCAAATGGACTTGTAAAATTTTTGAGCTTAGTAACGAGTGAATTCCTAAAAAGTTGATATTTGCTTTACCGAATGATAAACGTCAGAGGGGTAGACCAAAGCGAAGATGGGAAGATTTCATTAAAACCGATCTGAAGGGACTGGGTTTGGACGGCGAACGGTGGAAGGAGGTGTGTGATAAACGATTGGTTGTGTCGAAATTGAACCTTCGGATTAGCTAAGCCTTTTATTATTATTATTATTATTTCATATATTTAAGGCTTTGTTTTAGGAATCTTCCAATGATTTAATAACAATAATTTACTATCTAAATGAATTTTTGCTTTTACTAATGTTATCTGTTGTTGTTGCGTACTTCTACAATACGCAAACATGTCATGGCTTCCCCTACAACATTCATCAGGAGTCTTTGTTCTGTAAGGTATGCAGTTCCGGATACTTGCGCCATTGGCTACACATTCCTGCCATCGCTTGGTCTTCCTGCTCTGAAGTTTCTTTAGGACCATGTTGTTCCACATTCTCGCTACTTGATCAGACTATTTTAATCTTCTCAGTTTCATGATTTCGATGACATCAGACTCCCCGAACAACTAATATGTTTTCTCGCTATTTCTTCGTCTCTGAATTTCTACTGAACAGACAGTTCCATAACTACATCATAAAAATTTTCTTCCAAATATATATATATATATGTCTCTTTCCTCAGCAATAGTAGTCGTTCAAGTTTTTGGTCATAATAAGTTCCAAGAGCTTAGCAGCTTCAAGAGTCCAAAACAGCTTATTTTGAGTCCCCTATCATATCAATGTCAGCATATATAAGCAATTGAACCGTTCTATTGAAGAAAGTACATATGATTTATTCTCTTGAATTTCAGATAGCTCTTTCAAGGGAAACATTGAACAACATATTTCTACCTACCAAGCATCTCCTTGTTTTACACTTCTTGATGGAAAAGATTCAGATATTTCACCATTTACCCTCACACTCCACCTCAGATGTCGTTAGTCTAATTAAGACTACAAGTTTCCGATCATATTTACTTCTTCCACATCTTCTTCAAAGTATAACTCTTCTCTATCGATGCTGTCTTATCCTAAACGATACAATAATATAAGGTTTGCTTTCTAGGTGGTACTACCACACTCTAGGGATTAGCAATTGTCTCATTAACTACCAATCAGCCTTCACACTTCATCCGATATATTCGACTGTAGTAGTAATTGAGTCAGAAAATATTTTTTTAAAAGATTTTTATGAAGTTTAATGTTTCCTCTTTTATGACCAAATAGGAAATATTTGTACAGAATATAGTAAATAATAAGGATGAGGATTTTAAAGTTCAAAAACTATTTTTAGTCTTGATAATTTTGTTTTTTACAGATGGGGTGATAGATACGTGTGTCTCTCACAGGTTTATGACCAAGGTCTGAAGAACCTCGCCGAAGAAGCCGCAGTGGAAGTCGGCCTTCAGGATCTGAAGGAAGGAGTCTACCTGATGACTGGAGGACCAAATTTTGAAACCGTCGCAGAAGCGAGGATGATCAGGATGCTGGGAGCGAATGTTGTAGGTGAGTTAGTGAGAACTTTTGTTTTTATATCTCTGAAAAATAAATTTTATAACGGACTAAGAATACTACTAATGCTGTTGAGGTGGGATACTTTGTTTCTTAATGAATAAGATAATTAGTATTACATAAAACATTTCATGTGCGACTCACAAATGGTGGTCTAAATCGCGAAAGGTCCGGTTGAAAAAGAGAGTAATATTTTCCGATTGGTTAAAGCTAATTTCATGAGAAGGATAAACCAAAATCTTCTTTTATATATTTTTTCTCCTTGAGTTATCTTCCTTTAGACAAGGTTCCATTCTCAATAATGGAACGTTTTATCATTAAATCAATTAATTTAATTAAGTACTAAAAGCTGATAAATATCCATTTGCTTTCCACTTGAATCGTAACATAATTTTATCATCATAACTTTGGGGGATATCTAAATCTTCTAACATCAAATGCATCCAATCCTTTCAGTCCAAAGTCCTCCGAACAATAGTCGATGTTCCGTTCTATGCAACCAACAAAACCCTACATCATGACCTTAATATTCGATTTGATCTAGACCAACTCTAGGAAGGTTGAAGCGGCAGTGGCCCAGAGATCTTTTGTAGTATATATCTAGGAGTTCTGCCAATGGCCAGCTTCTCCACTCAAAACATGAGTGTATGTGGCTAGAGCGCTTTCGCTCAATCTCCACTGGCTTTAGCACCAGTGACGTGGTTGAGAGAGTAGCGCAGGGATGTCTTGGAGCCCTACTTTTGCCTCTATAGTTGGAGGGACAAGCCTGGCTTGGGGTTTCCTGCCTGATAGATATGACTGTGTTTTTATGTTTTTAATTTACTTATCTTTAGGTTATTTTATTTTTTTACCGTACATAGTTTTTGATTATTATTTAGTTATTATTTTACTTTTGTTAATTTTATGTTTTCTGGTGTAAATGTGTTCATATCTCAATATAATTATTCTCCACGCAACAGATTATTATAGTTCTAAATAAATAAATAAAAATCATCATAAAATTGAAAGAAAAAAAAAAGGTAGCCTACACAAATATTGGGCCGTTTATTTTATTTACAAAAGTTGTTGGAATTGGAGCGTTTTCAATCTGTAGATCGGCAAAATTTGTCTATTTGATTAGGTACAACAAAAAATCGTAAATACCCAGTTGCTTTCCACTTCAACCGTTTGAGCAAAAAGTCCAGAAAAAAGGTGGCCTAAAAAAATATTGGGCTTTCTGGCCTATATAACCTCGTTATTTCGACATATTAGTGGTGAAGGTCACGCCAAACGGCCAAATAGTTTTGAAAGCTACCTTCATTCTCGATTTTGTGTTGAAAACCAATTGGTGTTCATGACTTTTTAGTGTCTAGTTAAATAGACAAAGTTTGCCAATCTGCAGATAGAAAACGCCCCAGATAGCAACGGCGGTGCTGTGCACAACTGTTAGCCCGTTCAGCCCGCCTACCTCTTTTTATTTATTTTTTTTTTTTTGTGCTTTCCTCCGTAGTCTTTTAAGCTATAAGGATTTTTTTTCCCGGACCAGAGGAGAGGACGAGATATTAATGCCAGAGTTTAAAGCCCTCCCCTTCCCCTTTCCGACTACGGGACTCAAAACCGTAATTATTTAATCAAGTTACCTTCGGTTTATCAGGTTACCGGGAAACCTATCGTTGATCTCTAACACATATTCGTACACATGAAGTAAATTCGTCATTTCACAATCACTAACAGCCAAATGACGATAATTCATCATTTGTATATTGCAGAATATAATTTTATTTTCTAAATAAAGAAAATAACTACTTATATCAAATGACGTATAAGTGTTTCACGAAATCCAGCACTAGCGGATCCAGGATTTGATTTTGTGGGGGGGGGGCTCCAGCTCGAAAGCTTTTTAGTTTTTTTTATTTGTAAGAAAAAGAAAAAAACTATCTGCCTATAAGAAATGAGAGTTAAGTGATTCTTGAAGTCCTATTAAATATAATTACACGAACAATAATACTTTTATAGTTTTTTTTTTTTTTTTTTTGTAAGAACTTTTCCACTACTGTGGTTGTCCTTCACTTAAATATTCCTTAAGATATTTTTCCATTCTTCTATATCCATGGCTTGTTCTTCTATGACAAGATTACCCGCCAGGCTTTCTTCTACCGCATCTTTTCATTTTACCCTTGGTCTTCCACTTTTCCTTCTCCCTTCTACTTCTAGCTCCATACATATCTTTGGAAATCTTTCAGGCGTCATTCTTTCCACATGTTCAAACCAGCATAACCTTTCCTTTTCAATATTTACTAAAAATTCTTTTCTACCACCATCATTTCCAGATTTTGGAAAAATGGACTTTTAGAGATAATTTTTTTTTCATAAAACGTGGTAATATTTTATCTTTTTTTTGGGGGGGGGGGAGAGGGGCTCCAGCCCGAAAGCCCTCCCTGTAGATCCGCCTGTAGCTAAATAATAATAATGAGAGCAGAAAATAATTGATTTTTGTTCTTTTAATTCTAAATAAACTAATTTCTAATTTTTACCGAACAGATATAAATGAATGCCCGTATTTTGTGAATAGCGATGAATATGTGTTAATTTAGCATGCTAGAATAAGATTGAGAGTAACCTTACTATATTGAAGAAAAAGTTTTAATCCTATTATGGATGTTCTATGTAACCAACAAAACCCTACATCACGACCTTAATATCCCATTTGTCCTTGACCTTATCCCTGAAAAATTTTCAAAATTCCATCAGAACCTTATCAATCATCCAACCCCCCTAGCCCAATCCCTATCTAGTTCCACTCATCCCTACAACCCGCCTCGAAGGTTGAAGCGGCACTGGCCCAGAGATCTTTTGTAGTATATATCTTGGAGTTCTGGCAATGGCCAGATTCTCCACTCAAGACATGAGTGTATGTGGTTAAAGCGCTCTCGCTCAAACTCCACCGGCTTTAGCACCGGTGAGGCGGTTGAGAGAGTAGCGCAGGGATTTGGGTTCCCCGCCTGATTGTATATAGGTGTGACAATTTTTATGTTTTTAATTTACTTGTATTTAGGTTATTTTTTTTTTGTATATAGTTTTTATTTATTATTATTTAGTTATTATTTTACTTTTGTTAATTTTTTTTTTTTTTTGTATATATGGTGTGAATGTGTTCATTTATCAATATAATTATTGACTCTGTGACAGAATATTATATGTCTAAATAAATAAATAAAAAAAATAAAAAATCCTATTATAATCTAGATATTTTAATGTATTTTAATTGTAACAAATAAAATATATTTCAGGTATGAGCACAGTGGCAGATGCTATCGTCGCAGTCCAAGCAGGAATGAAAGTATTCTCCTTTTCGATCATCAGTAACATGTGCTGTTTGCATTACAACTCGGACCTAAATATCGACCACATCGAGAATATAGCCATTGGCCATCACAAGGCACCCTTGATCGCCAAGTGGATGCGAAAATTCGTCACCAAGATTGTCAACCAGCCTGCTTGATTATTTTATTAATCAAAAGGGCACCCGTTCTGTTTTAATACCACTCATATCACGCTACTCCTGGATTCCCGAAAATGCCCGAATGTTTCCGAAAGAAAACGAAGACTCTACCGGTGATCCTCTTGATTATAAATTACCGACCATTTTAAGAGGAAAATTTTTACTCAATAATAGTCGGCAATAATTGTTAAAATATTTAAATAATTATAATTTGTTATATTCCCATCCGATAAATATTTTTTTTTTAACTTTAAAATTTTTTTTAGATATCTTACATTCTGTCTTAGTTACGGACAATTATAACAGAGATGAATGAAAACACATACACAACATATCAACAAAAAAGATAAATAAATAAAATAATAACAATATAATACAAAACAAAAATAAAATAATATAATGAGAAAATCAATAAATAAATAAAATAAACATCTTAAGTACAGACATACTTATATATACTATTTACAATCAAGCAGGAGAACTCTGAACTCTTGTCCACTTTTGAAGGGAAAAGCCTGATTCCATAAGATCCCAGCAAATCTTCCACGACCATTTTACTGATATCAAAAGCCAGTGGAGATTGAATAAGGATACGGACACATACAACTTGAGTGGAGAATCTGGCTACTAGCAGAACATAACAATTGGAATTAAAATATCAATTTAATTTTAATTAAATATTTTAGCATTTGTTTCAGGAGTCAAACGATCTGTATAAATGTATTTTTTAGAAGAAAATATTTTTCTTATTTTGTATTTTATTACGAAAGGTGGGAATAAAACATAACCTAACTTAAAACAACTCGTATAATTAAAGGCAGTTATGTCAGATACAATCAGGATCGTTAATACTCAACTACTTTCGACACTCATCGGGAATCTGGGAATAGCGTGCTCAGGTGATTTTGAAATAGTCGCCATCTAGGAGCTGTATTATAATTCAACGAAATCATTATTAATTTCTATGAAAAAAATAAATATGTTTCTCAGGGAATATAGTATTTAAGGAACCTATAATGTATATTTCAAGAAAAAATAAAACTATTTTTTAAAATTTTAATCTCATAACTCTCTTAACGAGATTGAGAATTATTTAAGGAAAGTATATTCCTTCAGCTCTTTAAATAATTCAAGCAAGAAAACTTTAAAAAACCATTAATTGTATTACAAATAAAATTATTAATGTATTTGACGTTTTATTTTTTACTAAATTACCTTACAAATTCTAACCTTACTTCCAAATCGATTTGCGTCAACCTTTCAAAGTGATTAAAACTAAGATGGCTTCAACATCAAAATATTTCTTAGGTTTATAGCAAAAAGTCACGAAGTACATTTTTGATGAAGGTGAGCTTTTATGTTTTTATTAATTTCGACCATATTTAACATATACAAATAGAATACATCAAAATGAAACAAACCCTTTTATACATCAAATATATTTACAATTGGAGCACGATTTTCTGATTTAACAAAGGCAAGATTCATAAAAGTTCTTATTGATTTCAGTTTATGAAATGTCACTTAATAGATTTTTGCAATAAATCGACGAGTTATATGCAATACAAATTTTCCCACATCGGAGGGAAATGTTAAAACTTAAGAGAAGGGGTAATTATCCTCTCTGTTTCTTAAGATTCAAATATTATTTCTGACAATTATAAAAATAATGACAATAACTAGAGGGAGGAATTGCTCGGCAACCAACCACGTGATAAACCAAAGTTAATAAGATATCAAATAATTACGAGTTCATTAACCCCTCGCCACTCTCTGGTCCGGGCAAATCCTCGTACGGCCTAAAAGGAGAGGAAGAGAAGAACAAAAAAATAAAAAAAATAAGATATTTGCTTTAGACCACACGATAGAAGTCAAAACATCAATAAAACGAGATTAATAATATGAAATATAAATAATAGTTCATTATAAAGAGGATGAAATGCTGAACATTTCCCTCGCTTACAGTATGCAGGTCGGATTTTTAGTTTCTGAGATATTTAAATCAATATCTTCAATAAAATTCGTAATTATTTCGTTTTCGACACTATTTTTTCCTTTATCGCGTCTCTTACACGGAATCGTGTTAAGATACAATTTTGGATAATAGTTCATTACAAAGAGGATGAAATGATGAACATTTCTCTCGCTAACAATACGCAGTTCCAATTTTTAGTATTTGAGATATTTTAAGCCATATGTAAAAACACTTCAATTAGTCGACTCCAGCCGACTTTACCCGAGCGTTACACATTGGAAATCTGACTGCTCAATCTAATTCATTTCCCATAAAAAAAAGGGCAAGACGTTCCTAAAGAAGTTTTCACTTAAAAAACAAATGGTCACATTTCTCTAATGTATTTAAAATTTAAATGCTATTCTTGCTTAGCAGGAAATATCGCGCTATCCATAAATTAATACAAAACCATTATTGTACTAGAAATAAGACCTCTTTATTGGGTTTAAGCAAAAGAGTATAATTCTTGGTTTTTAATTCTCTCACTTATTAAAAGTGGAGTATATAAGTAAGATTTGGATAAGAAGTTCATCATCATTACGACGATATTAACAATCAAGTAAATAAAACGTTTATAATAGCAAATAAAACATATAATCATACTTGATGAAATAAAATTGTTTAAATATATAATCATGAAGCTAATAGTTGGTATTTCAAATAAAATGAGATGGACGCTTTGGTAGTATTGAACGAATTCCTCACATAACTGACCGTCTGCTGCTCTCTATATATACTTCTATTGTCTATAAAGTATTGTCTTTTATTTTTTAGCTATTGCTTAATAGTTTAATAGATCTGAAAGGATCTAGAAATACCAAAAACATTCTGTCTCCATGATGAAATATGACTTTTAATATTATTTTTTTATAAAATACTCAACTCTCCAAAAATGAATCAAACATACAGTGCTGTTAAGAATTCTTCGATTAAACCAAGTTTTTATAAAAAAAAATGATAAAAGTTTCAATTTAAAACTGTTTTTATCTTCTTGATTGTAAACAGATTAAACCTCCCAGACATTATATATGTTATAATAATTTTGGTTTATTATTTTCAATAATCAACCATTGTGATCGACCAAAAAATTCAAAAACTTAATCCCCTCTCAAAATTTGAGGTTTCGCGTTTCAGGACGTTTAGAATTCGAAAAACGAATAAAAAATTTTTTGTCCGTCCGCCGTCCAAGCATTTTCTCCGAAACTACTGGACCGATCTTTTTCAAATTTTGATATAAAATCAGAGGTCACCCGAGGATGATCCTCCTTCATCGACATTACTCTCCGCCTTTAACTTTCAAAATAGACTGTAGCTCCTAAACGAATGTACAGATTTCAATGAAACTTCGCTAAAGTCATTTTCTCGACGCCCTTTAAATTTAATATCTATATAACATACTTCAACGAAAAGAAGCTGGGAAAAAAGTTACGAGGGATGGTAAAATTAAATTCCGAATAACTCGAAAAGTTTTTACTTTTTTGTTGATATTGTATTATAGTTTTTTAAAAGTTTACGAAATTTCCTAAAAAAAAAAAAAAAAAAATCGTTAAAATCGGACAATTATGAGCAATTTATGATCTATTCATGGTAACAATTATGGTCTCCGGTTTTGTTTTATATGTTCTACTCCAAATGTAGAAAAATATCCTTGGTTTGGTTTTTAAATTTTGAATATGTTACTGAACTAATGCTATTTTTTTTTTTTTTTTAGCATATTACTAATGATTAAAGAAAAACAGTTTAGTCCAATAATTGGAATCACCTTTTGTTTTTTTTTCTTTGTAACTCGGAAGGTAATGTTACTTTAGATGTATAATTGTTTGGAAATAATAAACCACTGTTAAATAATTTGCAGCGTTTTTTTTAATATTTAAGGCAATAATACTTCCAATTTTCTTAGAATTCTTTTAATTATATTTGTTATCTCTAACGTTTCGGGACAATATTCCCATCATCGGAGCAATCTTTATCTTCACTTTCTTCTTTTGATGTAGCATCATTTGTCAAAAATCAAATAAAGATTGCTCTGATGAGGGGAAAATTGTCTCGAAACGTTTGAGATAACAAATGTAATTAAAAGAATTTGAAGAAAATTGGAAGTATTATTGCCTTAAATATGAAAAAATTATAAACGTAGTCTTCCTAATAAAAAAAGAAAAATAAGAAGATTATAATAATAATAATAATATATATTTATATAGCAATATTTAATAAGTCAAGGGATTAATTTTTTGTGTTGACATTTTTTTTATCTTCTGAATAATGCTACCTTATTATATACATTTAACTACTTTATAATCTACTCCAGTCTTTATTCTTCAATATTTTTAATATCAAGAGTCTATTTATAAACTCTAGAACGATGAATATATCAGTGAAAATTGTTCCAATATGGAAATTCTTCGTTTTTTGGGGGGCAAATTTAATTTAACATTCAAAATTCCTTTTTGTTTTCTATTTAATGTTACTTTAATTTTAGAATATAGCAAAATATCATGTTTTTGACAGACATACCATTATGACTTTGCATCAACGGAGACCTACAATCAAGAAAATTCTACGAGAAATTGAAAGTTCTATTTCTGAAATTCATAATGTTATCAAATTTTTTTTAACTAAGAAAACTGGAGACTTGAAACATTATGGAAAATGTCTTGCTGCAGATCAGAATTTAATATTATTGTCTTTGCGCAACCGTTAAGTATATAGTAGATAACTGGCTCAGGAAGGGGCAGGGTGATCAATGTGGACTAACGCGTACGCACAGCACCACGTGTTGCCTGGCAACCTGATAACCGAAGTTATCCACATCCACACATATATTATTACAGTAAGGCTCGAAATCGGTTTTGTACCAAATATAAGCTCCTGTCATGCTCAAATATCATGAATGGGGTACCGTTGGATTCAGAATTTCACGGGGGGTTAGCGAATCGTATTCTCCGCTTTTGTTTTTCTTTCTAAAATAAATAAAGTCGATACAAACATTTTGCTAGACTTCAATACAGGAACGGTGGTAGGTCTGTAGATCGATACGGGACAAATTGGATCTTGAAGATTTTGATGCGTACAGCAAGACCTGCGTTTTTAAGCCCAAAAACGTACTATTTTCGAGATAACGCAAGGCATAGGGTTCGCATCCACACAACCTGACGTTAATTGTAGTACTGTCATTGAATACATGCCTCATTTCGTCGACTTGAGGCCTCTA